ACGTGCCCAATATTGCATGTAAATATTCATGTTTCATTAAGTGGAAACACTTACCATCGAGAATTCTAGGAAATGATGGTGCTTCAACAATACTGAATTGTACAAAAGTATCCAGCACGAAATTTATAACATTCCGCTCAAGTTGTTCCTGGGAAAAATCGCAGCAGGTTTTCTTCTTCTTCAAATCCTCTGTGGCTTCTACTCGTCTCTTCTTGAGAGCATTATAATCATTGAAACTTTCCAATTCTCTAGGATGAGCTCTCTAGAAAACCACCGAAATTGATCAATTGCTCCATGAAAGTAATGGAATCAACAATGGAAAAGGAATGAAATGAAAAATACCTCTGCGTTGAAAATATTACCTTAATGTGAGTTCGAAAATTGGATTGACTGTTCACATGGCCACTGATGGTTTGCTTCTTACGCTTCTGTCTTACGCAGTGTTGGCATCGACCTCGAATTTTACCATCCGGTGTGTATGTCTTCAATATTGGTTGGAACCACGTTCCATCCAAAAAAGAACGTTGCTTGCAGGCATCATCGACGGATAATTTTTCAATACTTTCTTCATTTTCCTGCACTTCTGCAGGTGAATCCCTTTCTCCATCACCTACTGTAAAAGAGGTTGACATTTTTGAATGTTCAACGTCAGGGGAAATTGAGTTATTACTTAGCAGTGCAATTTTCCGAATGTAGAAAAAAATCTCGAGTTACGCCATTTCAAAATTTCCTGGAAAAGAATGCAAATAATTGAAATGAATAATATCAATAATCCATTTAAAAATTTGCAAAATTTCATGAGAAATTTTCATGAACAGTCGTCACAAATGACTCAATGTTTGCATTCACAAAAAAAAATCAATGAAGTCTACTAATCGTTTAGTAAAATATGAGTAATGATTGCTGATTACGCTGTTGGGACCGATGGGGAATGAGCGTGCTGCAACGAGCGTTTCCCTACTTAGCTAGTCATTTATAGATATTTATTTATTAATTAGTTGATCCAAATGTTGAAAAATTAATTTTATCCAAGGAGAATTTTTTAGGGGGATGAATTACGGGGGTATTCCAATTGAGAAGGATTTTTCAAAGAAATGAAATTTCAGTACCTGAGTCTCAATAATACGGCTTGTAATCAGCACGAAGTAACAGGCCAGTAAATTTCACGGTGTGATTAAGTTTTGCAAGATAAGCGGATGAATTTCGGAAATTAGCCTCAACCGTACATATTATTAATTAGTTTGTACTTACTATGAACGGCACATTTAATGAGATGTCCGCAATCTTTTTCCCACACTTTAATTCTTAACACCAATGATCGAATTTTTCCTCAGTGACCATCAATCACTCATGGCTCCGTCGCCGTCGTCTATCTACTGAGGTGTTCCCGTGTATAATTATTTGCGTACACAGCCATCGTTTGTTGATGAAACGAATGGGAGAATGATCGATCCATTCATAGGATTTTACCGAGAATATCGGCACAACATGAAATTCCGTAGCATAGCGAGAAAATATCAACGGTGACTATTTGCTCCAATATCGATATTTATATTCGGTAGGTCGTCATAACAGTTATTCAGAAAATGTTAACCGAAGTCGTGATTTCATTTTTCCCTCGAAATCATAAACTCTACAACAGGGGTGTAATTTTTTTCCGATATTTCTCAATCGCCAAATAAGAAATAAAAAATATGAAAACGTGGTCTCGCAGGGTATGTTAATTAATCATAATTAAATTACATTATTTTTTTCATAGAAGAATACATATAATTTATTTTGCTATAATTTATGTTCAGAGTGGTTTCTGTCGTTTATCGCAAAATACTGGAGAATAATGAAAGAAAAAAATAGTCAGAAAATAATGAGATACTAATGAAATCCGTTCCATTGGAATTACAGATTGAATATTCCTAAGTGAACAAAAAAGAAAAAAATATAGCATTTTCAGGAATGGAAGAAATTTACCGAAAAAAAGTATGTTTGCAAATACACAAACAATGTCAATTTTTAGAATTTA